GGCGCTGGGCCGGAGGGTCCCGCTTGGCCCCAGCGCGGCACCCGGGGGCGCCCAGGGCGGGGAGCAGCAGAAGGGCGGTCATGGGGAGCTGTGCATGTGTGCGTGCACACACCCGTGGGTGTATGCGTGTGCATGTAGGTGTGCACACGTGTATGTGTGTGGGCACACATACAGGGTGTATAGGTATTGCAGGTAGGACAGTCTACATGTCACATATGTGTGCACATGTGTAGGTATCACATGTAGGTTGCACACACGTGTGTAGGTGTGTGTGTACATGTGCAAGGGTGTGTGCACACAGGTGAGGGGGTTGTGTGCATATGCACACATGCATGTAGATGTGTTCACACATGTAGGTGTATGCACAAACGTGATGCATGAGCATGCCACACGGTGTGCTGTGTGGTCAGTTTCAAACATATGTCTGTGTGTGCCCCAGTGACACTGCACATGCCAGTACTGTGGGTGACCATATGCCCATGCAGGTGAACGTGTGTGCACTCAGCTGCACTGTACATATGTGCAGGGTTGTGCACGTGGCTGTGCTGCGCATGCTCAACATTGCATGCTGGTACCTGGCAGCATACATGGGCACACTTAGCTGTGCTGTGTGTACGTGTGTGTGTGCGTGCACGCTCCTTGTAGTGTTCATGCACAGGTGTGCACGTGCGTCCGTGTGCACACGTGTGCATGCAGCCATGGTGTGTGTCATGCTGTGTGTGCTGTGTATGCACATACCATGTGTGCATATTTGTGCTCTCAGCCGTGCTGTGTGTGTGCACCCACCCCCCTGCTCACACCTGTGGCAGCTCATGCGTGTGCTGTGTGCGCCCAGCCCTGTGTGTGCCAGTGTGCATTTGGCTGCGCTGCACGTGTGCATGTCTGCACACATGGCTGTGGCCCATGTGCTGGGGCACTGAGCCGGGCGGTGTCAGGGCACAGACAGGCAGGGAGGTGAGTGCTCACCCCTGACGGATGTGCTGCCAAACACGGCGTCGCGGCGCTGGTAGAAGAGGATGTAGGCACTGCGGGTGCTCACCTCTGCTTCCCGCACCCGCTCCACATGGCTGTCATCGTAGCTGTACCACCGCCCATCCAGGGCATTGCAACAGTAGGCTGGGGGTGAGGGCACGGGGTGAGGGGGTAACGTGGGCTCTTGCCCTGGGATCCCCCCAGCCACAGGGTGCAGTGGGGAGCAGAAGCTCCGTGGTGCAGGGTCACACTGGGGGAGGGCAGGATGCTGCTGGGGAGCACAACCCGGTGCCCTGCCTCACCTGGGGTTGCTGCAATGCCATCTTGCATGTCCCCTGCACCCTGACTCCCCTCTGCCCATGACACACTCCTGACAAGGGTCCCCAAACCCCATGACATGCTCTATGGCATATCCTGTGATGTCCTCGCAACCTCATGCTGTACCCCATGGCACAGACCTTGCAGTGCTCCCCCAACCCCATGCCATACCCCCAAACCCTATGTCATGCTCCACACCACAACCCTGCAGGGTCCCCAGCCTCATGCCATTCTCCACGTCACTCCCAGCAATGCCCCTAAACCTCTTACTGTACCCCACAACACACCCTTTGAGATGCCCTCAAGCCCCACACCTTGCCCCATGGCACAGCAGTTTGTCCCCAAACCCCATGCCTACATCGTGCAGTGTCTCCCACCTCATTCCCTCCCCCTGTGCCACCCCACTCACCAGTGTAGTGCCCGCCCTGCATGCTGCCATGGTGGTTGCAGACTGCGTACAGGTCATAGAGGTAGTCGCAGGGGCAGCCCGGGGGCAGGCAGAGCG